CAGAGCTGAACAAATGACTTTATCATTTTCGATTTAGTTATGCTGCAGGGACAGTTGAAGATGAAAACAAACCATGTTGCTCCTGACCTATACTCCTGTGTTGTTTAATAAAACAACACTATACAGTTTAAGGTTCTCAAGCTTTGACTGATGAAATGCAAATTTCTGGGCTCAACTGAGAGAGATTTTGGTCTAGCGGGACCAGTATAGGATGAGACCCACGAATCTGTATTTTCAACCACACCCTAGTAATTCTGATTTTAGATGAAACCTGAGATACACTTCAAGAAACACAGCTACACAGCATTAAAGAATCAAGTGAAGATTAGAAAATTAGGGTGTTAGGAGCCTTATGACAAGTCAAAGAGAAAGTTGAGGAAAAATCCCAATTCTTCTAATTTATAGCAACCAGGCTGTTAACAAGTTAATGATATGATTTATGTCTAATTTCTCTTTGATAATTCACTTTGGTTGATACACTTGATAAAGAGACACTAGATAATTACATCTAATAATAATCTAAACAAATTCAAAATGTTTAATATCATTGATTATTTTCACTAATATAGATCACAACAATAGAGAACCCCAAAATAGACCTCAAAATATTTAGGAAGTAAGTAGCATTCTAAGTTAGTGGAGAAAGAAGAGGTGATTATTCCATACATGTTATTACAACAACTGGCTTGTCATTTAGGTTTAAAAGGAAGCTAGATTTCTACTTTGCTTCCAAAATAAATTACAGATGAATTAAAGGGCCAAACTTAAAATGAGTAAAACTATATACAGTCTAGAATAATATATGGGCACTTCTTTTTAGTATCTTGGTATTACATAAACTCTGCAAGTCTAAAAATGAAAGATACATAAATTTGACGACCAAAAAACTATTGTAAAACTACCATAAAAGATTCAAAAGTCAAACTTAAAGACAAAATTAAGAACCTGAGAAAGATTTTTGAACAGGCCATTCACAGAAAAAAAATTCACAAATGACTTATACCGTAGGAAATGATGTTCATTCCTGCTCAAAATTATTTGCATGCAAATAAAAATAAGGAGTTGGTTTTCATCTATTAGTTCAACAAAAACTAACATATTTCATAGCATTAACTTTGAGGAGGGGTGGAGAAGATTGAGTACCTGAGCAATTTGCACTCAAGTTTAAAATACTCACATTCTTTGATCCAACAATTTCACTTCTAAAAATTTGTTCTAGAACTGTAATTGTATATGTAACCAGAGCAAAAGGATAACTATAATATTGTTTGTAATACTTAAAAACTGGAAATGATGCAAATGATCATTAATAGAGTGCTAGTTGAAAAATTCACCGTATGGGTTACATCTGCAGATTTGGATAGGAAAGAAACCACCAAGATACATTTTTAGGTTTTAAAAAAAGAAAGAAGGCAAGGTACTAAATAATGTGTACCTTGTGTTTCTATTTGTATACAGCAAAACCCCAGAAAATATGTATATACACAGTAAATTTCTGGAAACATTAAGACATTTTAAAAAATAGATACCTTTGGGAATGGAATTAAGGATTTTGGAGTAAGAGGAAGACTTATTTTTCATTTTATATACTTTTCTACTATTTGAAAATTAAAAATCGTGTAATGTATCATTACTATTAGTGAAGAAAAAGCCACTTGGAAATGCAAGGATTTTACATACCTGAGCTGTTCTGATTACAGCATAATGTTTGTGATAATCATACTTTGCTATTAGAAAGTTCAAATTATGTTGACTAAAACAAATCAAGTAAGCATAGGAAACATTTACAAAGATGGTTATCTAAAAATATTCAGCATGTAAATGACAAAACTTCATTAGGAAAAAATTCACGCATTTAGCATAGCTTGTATGCTTACTGTGTCATCTTGCTTTGCAAAGAAGTTCCTGACCTGTTCTCTATAGTGCTCTCAGGGCTTTGCCTAGTAAAGGTGGTGTGTTGCCCTGAGCTATCCCAGTTCTTCAGCCAGTCTATCTTTTTGGTGATAGACAATCCAAACTTTAGCTGCTGGGAGGTAACTGTCAATGACTGAGCAGTGATGTTTGTATCCTTCACCCATCAAACCTTATCCAGAATAAAAAAATAGAACTATCAGCTATGGGATAAAACTGTCAATAATAAATGGAAGCAGCCATATGAAATAGCGAAACTTAAAAACATATTTTTGTTAATAATACTTTCCCCAATTATAAAAGTAAAATATATTTGTTGTAGAAATTACAGAGAAGCATAACTTATACCATACTAACTGGAAGAGATTCTCTAAGCACAAATGGAAGGGTTCCTCTAATTTTTGTATTCTGTTATTTTAAGGATAAATTTCAACAGGGATAGGGACTTAAATATAATTGGTTTATATGTACCTAAAGTGTCTGCAGAAACATACACAAGAAACTGGAAACATTGCTTCTCAGTAGAGGAATTGAGGTGTGGGGAAGATAAGTCAGGTGTAAACGGGACTATTGTATTATTTATGTAGCCACATCATTAAAAAAATTAAAAATTAAAAATATAAAAATTTTCATATGAATTCCCTAATATTCATAATTATTATATAGAAATGTGAAATAAAAATCAAATTCACTGCAAAATCATAAGCCAAACAAAAATAATTTAATAAAAGTACCCTAGAAACATTGCTTATATGTTATCATTCAGATAAAAAAGAAATAAAAGGCTTGAAAGAGGCACAGATAAAGGAGAAGGAATAGAACAAAAGAGAGTGAAAGGCCAAAATGGAAAGATTTCCAAAATAAGTCTGTTACATTGAAAATATACTGTCAGTTCGTTGAGATTTAAACGATAGAAATTCTTGGAATAATGATGACATCAATCATCACTAGAAACGCTCCGCGTGGTGACTCACGCCTGTAATCCCAGCACTTTTGGAAGCTGAGGCAGTTGGATCACTTGAGGTCAGGAGTTAAACCAGCCTGGCCAACATGGTGAATCCTCTGTCTCAACTAAAAACACAAATATTAGTCAGGCCTGGTCACACACACCGGTAGTCCTAGCTACTCGGAGGCTGAGGCAGGAGAAGCGCTTGAACCCTGGAGATATAGACTGCAGGGAAGATTGTGCCACTGCACTCCAGCCTGGGCGACAGAGCGAGACTCCATCTCCCCACCCACCTAAAGAAAGCATCACTAGGAAAAGGCGAATGGTTGGGGTGCATACTGGAAGGAAATAACAGAAATCTGCAAAGGTGTAAGAACCTAAACAAATTTGTTTATCACAGAAAATAAATCACAGAACAACTGCTTTCGTTGTTAAGTTTGTTTATGTTAAACAAGAGTAGCTTTTTGTATCACATGGTTCTTCTAAACTCTTCACTGAAGAGGTCCTTGGTAGTCTGTATCTAAGCTAATTCCTTTGTGTACTGAGAAGAGTAAAAATGGGAACTTTTGAAGGGTCATAATGTAATATTGGGGTTCAGAGGTTCAGGGTGCCCTCAGCTCCCATGAGAGGACGTTTCTCCAGGTTCTTGGTCTCCTGCCTTCTCAAGAATGAGAGAGGAGACCATGGCGCAGTGCGCAGTAAATGCCAGACTCAAAAGTGTTTGTAGAAGGTGATTTTATTTAAAAAGAGAGAGAGAGAGAAACAGAAGGACAGAGAAAGAAACAGCTAACTGTCACACCGAGTGAGAGAATCCAGAAAGATGGAATCCAGGAGAGAAGAGCAGCTTCCACACTAAGTGGAAGGGAATAGAGACAGATGGAGTTTCAGAGGGGAAGACAGGGAGGGTGTGCGGAAGGGAACCCCAGACGTGGGACAGTCTAAAGATGAAAAAATGTATACATCACATATTACCCAAGACAAATTTCAAAGAAATTCAGACAGAAATATGGAAGAGCGTGAAGAGATGGGAAATGATCGTGCTTCCAAAATACAGATGTCACCTTTGGGAAGCAAGAAAAGTAGCACTAGAAAAGATAAGGAAGAATCTAAAAAGAGGAACATTTCCAGTGAGTCCAAGGACAAATCCAGGAGAGAGAAAGATGGCTTTCACGAAGGCAGTGTTAGTGGAAGGGGACTCAAGCATGGAGTCTGAAGGGGTGTGGAAGGGGACTTTTAACCTGAGAGGAACCCCCACCTTCTCTAAGTCCCCTGGCCAATGAAAAGAGTTCCTTAGAACTACCACTGGAGTTATTGACTCTTAGTTTCTTCCCTTACCGGTGAAATTCAAACACAAACAGTTAAATTTCCTGGATGGAGAGAGATGGGAGGGGGTTATGGCACCAGGAAGTTCTTGCCCTTAAAACTACGCCCCCTTGTGGACCCGGAAAGAGTACACATTCCTTCAATAATTTCCGTGCAAAAAAGAAGTCACAGTAGTCTGAAGAGCTGTGCATGTTTTAGGGTGTCACTGGGTTGGGAACCTTGGAGCTAAGTGTCCCCACATCTGGCAAGCCATAACATACATATTCTCTGTTCAGGCAGAAACTGAGCTTTACAAAAGTGAAATGAGAAACAACAACAAAAAGCAGTCACATATATTGAGAACCATTCAGTCCTTCTTAGAATTGTCTCATTCCTTTCTCATGCATCTTTAGTAAATTCAGATGCACGTTAATTTTAGAAAAGTCTAAATAGGCATGTGTTTTATTTTTCTGTTTCCTAGTGGAATAGTGAGTGGTATAAACCTGGAAATGCTCTATAGCTATTTTCTGAAATCTACAGCTCTTGTTTAGGTAAATATCAGGTACTTAGCTAATGAAATGTCTCTTGTTTATAGGAAAGTGTCAACTTTCAGGATGTTATGTGTAAGGCTCAATAAAATTACGTACAAAGTGACAGTGTACTCTCTTTTCATAGGCTGACCTTGTGGTCACCATTGCCTGAAAATGGCTCAAAACAAAAATGATCTAAATGTTGAAACAAGATAAGATCAAATTGATGTCATGGTAATTACACCAAGTGCCATTCAATCATTGGATGGAATTTACTGTTGATCCCAGGGCTTAGATGCAGGTGGAAACATGTAGGCTTATTACTCTGCTGGTATAAAAAGCAGGTGAGGACTTTATTAACTGCAGTTACTGAGAAATCACACGACGAAGCTAAAATCCCTCTTCAGATCTACAGTCAACTGCCCTGAACACATCCTGCAAAAAGCCCAGAAAAAGGTAAAATGAATGAAATAATTTTGGGGGATTTTAATTGAGGAGTAAAATATTTGAGAAAATAAAGATTTCAGAATCTCTGCACACATCTTAGTAAGAAGAGAGATAGGCTTTTACTCATTCTCTTTCCAGCATTCACAAGTGAATTGGGAGGAAGTCTGTAAAACTGTGGCTGTGACCATAGGCTAAGATGTTATCTAGAAGCCAGAAACCCAATGTCTCCTGCTGAGACGCTTGAGTGCCTGTCAGCATCTAAAAATTTTCCTCAAGAATTATTGGATGTCATTGGAAAGGCACTCTTTTGAGCGGCTTCTAGGAGTCAGACGGAGGGCAAGTAGATGTTTTGATATTGTCTTATTATCCATTTTTAAGTGATGTATAACTATATCTTCACACTGGCCCATGATAAAGCGGCTCACTTGTTCAGCCGAATGACCATAGCTTCTGATTATCTTTTGAATAGATGTTCTCATGCACACTTGAATAGGAGCATGGAATTTTTGAATATCAATGTTTTCATTTTTTTCTTTAATAAGATGCTACAAAAATCAGAGTTGGTAGTATTTCTCCACTATTATTCATGAGTTTGCAATAGTAAGTCACTTGCCCTAGTATAATTGTGTAGATGTGATGAGTTTCTGGAAACTTTTTTGTAGCTAACCTTGGTTATCTTTGCATTAGCGCTGATTGAAATGGTGGCTGATTGGGAAATAGAGACTAAAAAATGAAAGAGCTTTTTTGTCCCTCCTTATTAGCACTGAAGAACGGGATACGGGCGTGTGTGAAGAATTATGGACTGACATTATATGGGTCCCTTAGGAATGCAGAAGCTCCCTTTCATCCCCATGGGAATTTTGTTTCCTAAGATCTTTAATCTTTTTCCCAGTCAAAAGTCAGATATTTTACTTTAGAAAAGGAATATTCTAAAGCTCCCGAAGGCATATTTTAAATAATTACTTGACTTAACGTCAATTCAACTATTCACAATATTGGTCAACAAAATTGCACGTAATACTTTGCTATAGTTTTGAATTATTTAAAAAAGATAAGAGCAGCCACCATTTATAAAGGTTTGTGTGTTTTCAGTTTAATTTCAACTTTGGTTTTCTTAAGTTTGTTATTATTTTTTGCAGAAAGAGTCATTGACATTTTAAGTGACTCATATTTCTTACCATTTCCTGCTGAAAAGGGCAGCATGTGAGAAAAATGTTAGAAAACCAATTAATTATGTTCCAGAGCAGATTTTCAGTTTCAGTGTACATCTCTTTTTAATGTGAGACCCAAAGTTACATGAAAACTCAAAGTAGTAGCTGGGTAACAGAAATGACTAACTTAGAAGGTAATGTACATCTTGCTTAAAAGCAGATCAAAGTAATCTGCTTTCACAAAGATAAAATTTGCAGTAGTGAACTTACATTTCCATTGAGAACAACATTGTCCATAGCACTAAACTTCCATTTTTACAGATTGTGAATCCTAGAGTAGTTTGCAATCAACTCCTGATCCTTGCAAATTCTGGATTTGGCGTATAATGTTACAGCAGTGCCACTGTAATGTTGTACAAAGTAACCTAGCAATTTCTTGGTTCATCAGGCTTGGAGATAACATTGTAGAAATGATCCAGCATCCTTAATATTCTGGGGTTTAAGATTGGGCACTTAGGCTGAACTAGGGGTAGGATCAATGACAATATTAGAAATCAAATTAGACAAGTAACAGCATGATTCACGTGTGACTCCAAGTCCTAGAGGAGGACATGAATTAATGGTAAACTTCTAGGCTATAGGGGTAGTATAAATGGAGGGACACTATTTTGGACCAGATCACTTTCTGAGCAACTTTGACAAATCTTTTAAATTCTCTAATATGTAGTTTTCTAATCTATGACACAGGTGTAAAGAAAATAAAGCAAGTGAACGTATGTGAAAGCCAATGCTGGCCAGGCACGGTGGCTCACGCCTGTAATTCTAGCACTTTGGGAGGTGGAGGCGGGGATATTGTTTGAGCCCAGGAGATGACCAGTCTGGGGAACATGGAGAAACCCTGTCTCTCCAAACAGGACAAAACAAAACAAACAAAACAAAACAAAAAAAATTCCGCAAATTATCCAGGCTTGCCGGCATGCTCCTGTAGTACCAGTTGCCTGGAAGGCTAAGATGGGAGGATCGCCTGAGCTCGGGAAGTTGAGACTGTGGTGAGCCGAGACCGTGGCACTGCACTCCAGTCTGAGCGACAGAGAGAGACCATGTATTAGAAAAAAAAAAAAGGAAGACAGCCTTTTTCCTCTTTCCCTGTTCCTCTGCTGTTCCCCACTGCAAACATCCTCATAGTCCTTAGTCCTCATAATCTGATCAGTTATAAAATACCTGAGATTTCTTTCTTTCTTTCTTTCTTTCCCTCCCTCCCTCCCTTCCTTCCTTCCCCCCCCACCCCCCCATCTCTCTCTCTCTCTCTTTTTTGAGACAGTGTTTCTCACTGTCTCCCAGGCTGGAGTGCAGTGGCTTGATCTTGGCTCACTGCAGCTTCATCCTCCTGGGCTCCAGCAATCTTCCCACCTCAGCCTCCTTGAGTAGCTGGAACTACAGGCCCATGCTACCATGCCCAGCTAATTTATGTATTTTAATAGATATGTGATTTTACAATGTTGCCCAGTCCTGTCTTGAACTCCTGGGCTCAAGCAATCCGCCTGCTTTGGCCTCCCAAAGTGCTGGGATTACTGGCCTGAGCTAATGGGTGTGGCAGAAATGGCTCTTTAAAAGCAGTTCTGAAGAAGGTGAAGTTAAATAAATATGTAAAATAAAAAATACATCAGTAAGTTATATTAAACTGGCAGATAACATTGTTCTTAAAAAAGATGTCAGCATCTTATTTAGGGATATGTCATCTGAAAACAACATTTAAAAAGTTCATTGTAAAATGTAAAGATTTAAAGGCAGTACAATGAAGTGTGGTTCAGTTTGGAGTTTGGAATTGTAAAGAGACATTTTAAAATCTTGGCTTTGCCAGTAACTAATTATGTGACCTTGTATAGATTACTTCACCTCTGGAATTTCTTTACAAAAATGAGAATGATACCACACAAGATTGTCATGACGAGTGAATATATTTGTGAGTGCAAGGTGCCCAAAAGAATGTCTAGCACACATGAGTGCTCAGTTAATGGTAGGTGTTATTTTTTAAAAATATAAGATATTATTGTTACCATATTCAGTATTACAGATAGTGCATTGAATGCTAACTCCATTTTTTAAAATGCTTTGTTACATTTTCTGTAATAGGTTAACTTAATATGTGTTGTATTAAGACCCTCCACACCCAGCCTGCCATATGCACAGAAGAGAAAGTGGAGGCAAGATTGTGGTTCTATATCTCAGACTTTGGAGAAATGTTTGTTATAAGAGAATGCGGTTGGTCCAGTTATTTATTGTTATCCATCAAGTTACTTGAAAACTTAGTGAGTAAAATAACAAATTATCTTTCAAAGTTCCACTGGGGACTGAGCTCAAGTAGGCTGTTCTTAACTCGAGTTTTTCATGCAGTGCAGTCAGATGGTGATTGCGGCTGGAGTCATCTAAAAGCTCAGCTGGGCTAGTCATCCAGGATGGCTTCTTCACTCACATGTCTAGTACCTCGTTACCTCTTGGCCTCTTTCTCTTTCTCCATGTGACACTTTACCCTCCAGAGTATCTTCATGTGGCTTGGCCTTCCTATCCTGTGGTGGTCTCAGTGTGGGAGCATTTCTTACATGGCAGCTGGTTTCTAAGAGATGGGAAGCAGGAGCTGCCAGGTCAGTTAAGGGATATACCTACTACTTGCCCAGTGTCACTACTGCTATATTCCTGGTCAAAGCAGTCATAGGGCCTACTTAGATGAAATGGGGTACAAAGATAGACATACCACTGTTTGATGTGGAAGTGGGATTAGATGGGGCTAAAGAGGTGAAGACTTAGGTTAACCCTCTAGAAGTCAGTTAGATTTAGTCTGTTTCGTTAACACACGATTATGCCTCTAATCCTAGCCTAGTCATCTCAAGAATGTGTTATGAGTCATTTGGGCTTCCTGGTGTAGAGACTGTAGATGAGTCACTCCAGCTATCACCACCTTTAGAAAAACCAACCTCACCACTCTCTGGCAGTGGGGAGCAATGGCAACATGTTTGCAAGCAAAGGGCCTGGATGTCACATTGTTTCAAGCACTTGTGACCTTCTTGGAAAGATTATTAATATATGCATGGGGATGTGTATGTATGTGTATGTGTGTGATACTTGGTGTGTCAAGATATATATTATTGATGTATGTATGTATTTAATATGTGTATATGGCTTCTATGGCATACTGGTAGAGTATTTGCCTATTTCAGAAATCATTTAATTCTATTATAGAAATATAATTATTAATTATACTTAATCACAATGAAAATATTGTGCAAACATATGTTAAATAATAATGGTAAGCTATGGTAATAATATCCTCTTATGCTTTTTAGAATGCTATTGGGCCAGGTAAGGTAGCTCACACCTGTAATACTAGCAGTTTGAGAGGCTGAGGCAGGCATATCGCTTAAGCCCAGGAGTTTGAGACCAGCCTGGGCAACATTATGAAACCTGTCTCTATAAAAAAATATAAAAAATGAGCAGCGCGTGGCAATGCATGCCTGTAGTTCCAGCTACTCGGGAGGCTGAGATGGGAAGATCGCTTAATGCTGGGAGGTCAAGGCTGCAATGAGCCATGACTGCACCACTGTCCTCTAGCCAGGGAGGCAGAGAGAGACCCTGTCTCAAAGAAAAAACCAAACCAAACCAAACCCCCAAAACCCCTCAAACAACAGCAACAACAACAACCAAAACCAAAACAAACACTATTGTAGGGGAACCAGACATCACCTCCAACCCCCTTTTAGCTCTTAGTAGGCTCTTCAGCTGGATCTGGGAGTCAAATTCTCTTTCATATTAATAAGAGAGAAATATGCAAATTTTATTAGTTTTACATGTACATTGGGATGT